GTCTGCCAAAAAAATGTATACACACTTTAGGAAAAGAAAAACTTGTATAAAGTGCATATTCTCCTAATTTAACACCTGCAGACTCTTATCTATGGGGGACTTTAAAGAATGTCATATATAGCAGAAAGCCCACTACACTGCTGTCCCATAGAGAAGAAACTGAAAATGCATGTGCAGCAATCTCAATGACCAAGGTTATCCAAGCAGCAGTCTGTTGTGCTAATAAATGTCGGGAAGCTCATGGCCACCACTTTGAGCACCTCTTCTAACTGCAGAGGCCAAAAGGTAACTTGTATTAATTTCATGATGCCACAATAAATTTAGCACTAAAATACTTATACAAATTTCTCTTTTACTGTAGTGTACATACTTCTTCTGGTGGATTCTGTATCTCTATCTATCTCCATAAACCATAGAATCTATTTTTCATAACATCCACACTGAAACAGAATGTGACTCTCGAAGGAAGGGAGCATTTTCCTTAGTTACAGTGCCAACTACTTAAGACTCCAGAAGGCACACAAGACAAATGGGTGGATGCATCCTGGAAGACACATGTGAAATTACAGTAAGTAGGTCTCTATTATGATTTGGGCCACTGTATAAAGTGAAAAGAACTCTTAGAGTGTTTGTAATGAACACCAAACTTAACAAATGTTAGGAAACCATGTTATATATCTGAACCTCAATCCAAATTAAATGCAGTTTGAGATATCCAAGGGAATCTGCTGAAAGTCTAGATAGGAAAGGATGTCACGTAAGTGACATATGCACGTGTTCAGGAACAATGGTTTATGGGCCCCTTGCCACTCCCCTGCATATGTGATGTGTAAGAATAAAGAACCTGACAGGGAAGCTTGCTATTGCACTGAAGTGCCTCTGTTTCCTAACCTTCTGTCCTGCCATTTGCTAGTGGGAGGGAGCACCTCTTCTATCACTAATACCCCAGCTTATGACTTCTCCTTTTCTTTTCCTTTCTCTCTGCTTGAAAGCTACACAATTCAACTCTGAAGGTTCCTAAATGATCAGAGATACTCTGATCCAAATACCTGGAAGTAGTAACATGTTACCTGTAGTAATATGTTATTTTATTCATGTTTGTAACAATACATCTCCCCCGCACCCCATACCAGGGATCCAACACCAGAATGCGCTTGCAAGGCAGGTGCAATGCCACTGAGCTAAACTCCCGGCCCTGTATCAGTACATTTTTACATAAAGTACATAAACAAAATATATAATTTTACATGATTTGTAGAAGTCAATGTAAACTTTTCTTATAAGCCCATAAATTTTGTAAAATTGCAAAGAAATACAAAGTTAAGATTCTTCTGTTCTTAATTTTACTTTGAACAAAGAGAGTTGCTTGCAGAAGTGGACAGGAATCCTCATACAGCATACAAACAAACCACTCTTCTCAACTGCTACAAAGGTGACTCCCCAGATATCTCTAGCCCCAGCCTGTCTCCCAGGATCCAAGTCCACATCCAATGCCTCTTAAATGAGTCAATGCTGTCACTGTATACCCTCAGGCCCAGGCACCAGTCATCTCTAACTCACTGTTGTCCCTTGTCCCCCAACAGTGATTTATAATTTATATCACAGTTGCTTACATGCCCTTACTGTATGCCAGATACTGTTGTACATGTAACCCAAATATTAGCTTTTTATTGTCATGACATTCTTATTATCTCCATTTTATACCTGGGAAACTTAGACACAGAACAAATTTAACGAAAAAATATATTTTTTGGCAGTACTGGGTATCAAACCCAGAGCCTCGCACATGCTAGTTTGTCTACTCTAAGTCCTTTCTTCATTTTTTATCTGGAGATGGTGTCTTGGTACAGGTGTGTGCCACCATGCCTGGCTCTTAACAAATATTACTAATATCATGGCAAGAAATGGCAGAATCCTGGGATTTGCTCCAGAGTCTACTTTTAACCATGTGGCACTGCCTCTCCAAAGCACTGCTAAGTTCATACAGGGTCTACTGCTGAAATGGTCCTTATCATTGTCCTTTTCTTTCTGTTTCTGCCAGTACAGTATTAGTTTAAGTTGTAGTATTTCTCATCTCAACTACAACAATAAACTCTTGTCTTCAAATTTCTTCTATTCCTTATCCAAACTACATTTTCAATGCTCTCAGATTAATTAGCTTAAAGAATGGATATAATTCTATCACTTTTCTGCTTAATAGCTGTCAGCAGTTTTTTATTGGTTCCTAAATTATAAGTAAGCTCTCTGCCTTGGCTTTCAGAGCTCTTCACAATATGGCTTCGACTTACTACTCCAACTTCTTATTTGCTTATAATTTAATTCAAGTGGATTAATTGGAAAGAACCTTACAATTGAGCCTGAGTACTTCTGCTCATCTCATGCTGTTTATTCTGCCTGTCTGTGCCTTCTAGTTCTGCCTCTCCTTAACAACTCCCACACATCTGTGACGTTCTACCTTAAACACCACCTCTCTCATGAGGCTGTTCCCACTCAGATGTGCCTATTCTGTCCTTAGCTCGTCTATGGCATTCACCTTTCTCTACTGTGATGACTATTCATGATTCTTATTTTGCTTCTATAGTATAGTATCTCTGAGGGCAGCAACCATGCTTGACCTCCTAACTCCCACAGTACTTAATAACAAAAACTTGCGCATGGTAAACCTGCAACAAAATTTTGTAACGAACACTGAATATATAGGCCAGATACATTCATTCTCAAAATAAACAAATGATTAAAAAATGAAATATCTCTTAAAAGAAAAACACAATATGCAATAAAGTTAATCTTTAAAAATATGAAGCTGCTGAAATATTTGAGAATTAGTGATCAAGATTGAAACTTTACAGAAAAAGAGAATGGGGGTGAAATCTTAAAAGTACTTTCAGATGAAAAATGTATCAAACTTGTGAGCAGGCACAAATACAGATAAGACTACTGGCTAATGGGGCATTACCTTGGCAACTGTTTGTTCAGCAATGGTGCTAGGCCTACGCTGGCGGCCATCAAGTCTCTGCTCCACAGGAAAACTGCTCCTATGTGATTTCAGGCGCTCCACCAACAAGAAATAAATGGCAGCAAAGTGGTTATAGCTCTTGTTTTGCAAAGACTGAAAGAGAAAACAAGTGGTGAAGGCACAGAACCATAAAAAACAATCCCAACAATCTATACCTTTCTAAAAGAGTGAGGGAGAAAAATCATATATTCTTCAAAATAAAGTAGCAAAGTGCCTCAAAGTGAAATCTATTCTAGAATTTAACGTGGAAGGCAGAAGGCTGCAAGTTTCTGTGAGGATCAGTTATATAAAGGGTAATTTCTTCAAATGATTTCCTTGGCCCCTCTACATGATCAGGATCTACTTATTTTTTCTGCATTAGGGGAAAATGTCATCACTTTCTTAAGCTGACATTACTAATGCTGTCATCGCCCCAACTCACAGGTATAACTGTGGTGTAAGGTCAGTTAGCCTACATATGCAGAAGTTCTCCTTCTTTAACTCAAGTTCAAAAATCATTGAAAACTCTGGGGTGATTAGTTAAAGCCTTTGGGGAACTTTACGGTGATTATTTTGGGTTAGAGAGCAACATTTGGATGCTAGATTGAGAGTCACTGTGTCTCTGTTCTTAGGTAATTTTTTCCTCTTGTTTTTGCAGTCCCACCCTTTTGAAAGCTTGAAAATAAAGTTGCTTCCCAAATTTTCCCATTTCTAGCCTGCCAGCTTTCCCAGATGCTAACACAGCAGAGAAACAGCTGCTCCTTTGGCTTCTAATTCTAGTTGCCAGTCTGCATGGGTGCTGAGCCGGGCACTATGGCTGTGGTGCACTCTCAGCAAAGACCATAAGCCAGTGGCACTACTCATGGCTGCCATTCTGGATTTGTTTTATGGACAAATACCAAAAAACATCACTAGAAACACAATGAGGCAAGCAGGACAGCTAGTTTGTTTTTGCTTACTGCTACAACAGGGGACAAGGCAGTACAGTCTGGAACCTGTCTTTCATACTCAAGGGGTATTTGATATTTCTTCTTGTTATGCTTCTCAGAAATACTGTTTTATTTTTTATTGTTGTGGAGGGTCTTAAAAAAAATATATATATATCCTGGGCTAGGGATTTAGCACAGTGGCACCACACTTGCCTCATGAGCTCAAGGTCCTAAATTCAATCCCTGTTACCGGAAAAAAAAAAAAATCCATCCATCCTATAAATATGCTAACTATATAGGACATGTAAAAGCTAAGAGGAATTTTACAGGTTCATAACCTTTAAATCAGGATTCCACCTGTTTCTGCCTCTTTTTTTCTCCAGTTTACAACCTAAACCCAACTGCTTTCTTAAACTTCATCTTTCCTTCTTGTTTCCTGCACACATCTTAGTCTTATTCCATATTTGCACATTTGTATTTCATACCAGCTAGTTTAATACTGATATGAAACTTCATGTGATAACTTGTATTTGTTAAATTTCCATCTTTGCCTTTCAGTCCTCTATGAATAAACTCTCCCTCTTGAACTTTTGGCAGATGGGAAAAAGTAAGGAATTCAAATATTAAAGCAAATGTAAATAGAATCTGATGTAACTGTTGGGGAACACTGAACAGCACCCCTAGATGCTAGAGACAGATGTGCTAAAAGACCAATGTGACAGAAGAGAGCGTGGAACTTCAAGTTATTAAGTGCAGATGACTGCTAATACATCTTTGGTCAAACCTATGATCATTTTACCTCAATGGTCTTCTGCTGATCTATTCCAAGGCTGTGCATCAATCGCAGAACCTGCTCATTAAATTCCCCAATGGATGGCTCATTTTCTTGCTCTTGTGTATAGAGAACAGGTCTCTGTACAGGAACTTCTATGAGCATCCACTTATGCTCCTTGATTTGAGCTATGGTTAGTCGTTTAGATGGGTCTAGGACCAACATCCTTCGAATGAGATGCTCACAATCTACAAAAAACACAGTGTCACAAGTCACATACATCACTTTGCACTTCAGTTTATCTGCTTGAATCATGTGACTCTGTACAATGACGTTAATCTTTGTATCCTTCGTTGAAAAGTAGAAAGTCAAATGAATAAATCAGAAAGATACTTCTATGTGTCAAGTTCACAAGGTGAACAAATATTAAAAAAAAAACAAGGGTATAATCTAAATTCTACTTCTATTGAATTTCTCAGGTGAAATTATCTAGTCACAGACTTAGATTTCCATTAAAGAATAAAACTAAGCTACATTCAGACAAGCAAATAATAAATTGGTCCTCAGTAACATCTAAGGCTGATACACTATGGCTAAGTAGGTGAGGCACAGGGCTCTCCAGCAGGGCATTGCTTTTTTCATCACTACTGCTGAGAGAAATGTCCATGAAACATGCTTTACCTCTGATTACACTAAGAACACAGCTGATTCTCTAAGCTGGACTCATGTTCCGCGCATCACATTCGTATTAGTTAACTTTATCACTCACCGTAATCTGGCACTGTGCCCAGTGCTTCATACAGTGACTTAATCATCACTACAGTACCCTGAGGGCAGAAACTATTGTTATTTCGGTATTACTTTATTTATATTTTGATATTTCTATTTTATAGATGAAGAATTGAAGCACAGAAAGGAGCTATGACTTGCCAAAGCCATACAGCCAGTGAGTCACAGTGAATCTGGCACTGAAACCAGGCAGTCCGGGTCCAGAGCCCATTCTCTTAGCTGCCAAGAGGACTACCATACTAGTACTTTTAGTAGGAACAAAAGTGTCAAGGATTAAAACCAAAAAGGTAACTAAAGAGTAAATTTAACTATGTAACAACTCAATATAAGATAGGCAGGGATTATGGCCTTTCAATTTAATTCACTAGAGTTCTGCCAGTTGGCTTTTAATTTAATTTAAACATTTTTAAGCTTTGTAAACTCCATTTCCTATTTAGAGTAAAATGATTGTGAGCCTGTATCTATGAAGTACTTCTTTAAGTCTAAAATAAACTTGGGAGATTTATAGATCTAGAATAAACAGGAAGATTTGCTGTTCTTAATCGAGGAAACTTCTGCTCTTAGTTACAAGTAGGAAAGGCTGGAACTTTTCTCATCTACATGGAAGGGGCTGCTTATTTTTAAGGCTTTGAAAATTACTTAGTCATTTTTATCTGATACTCAAACTCTCCGGAAAGGGGAAGGTTTGGCCTAGACCTTTCTTTTGGAGCACAAATTCTGTAAAGCACAATTAGTAAGATGAACAGCTTATTACCTTCTGACATGAAATATGGAATTCGAAATCTTCCTTCCAAAACCCTCTGCCTCAAAATTGGAAGAGTTGGTCCATCAAAAGGTAGTGCTCCACATACAAGAACGTAAAGGACAACTCCCATGCTCTAGGGAAGAAAACAAGTCATTTCCTAGGGAGAACTTAAAATATTCTTTGTTTTCCCAAACATCCCCAGGGCTGTTGAAATCACATGGACTAAAAAATCCCTGTCCAGATTTATTATTTTCTCAGAATTTGGAAAAGAAAAAGCTAAAACCTTAACTACTACAATAAGTATAATAAATACCAAATGATCTGAATCTGATCATTTTTCTCACTGCTTAACTTTAAATTATTGCTAATATTAGGATAACACCTGTCCCTACAAATTCTCTTGTAGGGATCCATTTCAATATGCTGACTAATTATAGTCCAGCAGGTGGGGGAAATACGGAATGCTGTTTATGTGTTGAGTACCAGGAGCTTCTAGGATGGATCAGAGTGCCAACTACTATCATATAGATGCATTTAACACAGCAAAGCAAAGCAATACCCAAATATCCAGCTGTGGTCCTTCATACTGCTGCCCTTCAAAGACTTCTGGGGCTGCATAAGGGGGGCTGCCACACCATGTTGCCAGCAGTTCACCACTTTTAAAGAAATTTCCAAAACCGAAATCTATTGGGATGGAAATAAATGTTACTTTCATCTATGCTCTCAAACTACACTGCTCTCCGTAATAAATTTCACAATATGCCATATTAACAATGTCACTAAGATTTACTCGTGAGGACTGGGATGATACCTATCTTGTGACATTTCCCTAGCAGTTGCCATGATGGTCAGCAAGTAGTTAAAAATTCAACAAATACTGCTGAATGAATGCACACGTGAATTGAGGCTTCTTTTCAAAGAGAGTAAATGAGAGACTGGAAAAGATTTTAAGCCATGTATTTTTAAGGCTAAAAGAATATCCATTGGTGTGGACAACCACTGCGAATTTGATAACCACAGAATTCAATTATTTGATGGTTGATAAATAAATGAATAAAACACAAATGAGTGACTGGCTGCTTTTAGAACCATTCCCCAAGGTAGCAAGATATATATATCTATATATCTATCTATCTATCTATATATAGATATATCTATCTATCTATCTATCTATCTATAT